TCTGAATGGAAAGTGTTACGAAAATTATCTAATGAATTTCATGGGGAGTTTGGCAGCAAACCTTCAAAGGCATATGAATAAAACATGCCATTTTTGCCAAAGAAAACAACTGTAAACTTGATGGTTCCGCATAAAAAATAAAAGATCTAACTACTGTAGACATAGTTAAACTATTTCACCTGGTAACTAACAGGTGTTGGATTTCTTTTTTAACTATATGGAGCCATTTCTCTGGATCCCAACATAATGTATATACGCAGATAAAGCAACTTCAAACCAATGAAATCCGTATAAAGGAGATCTCACTTGATTACTATTAAAATAAAATATCCCATGTTTAGCATTTTGGCTGCAATCATCTAGGCCTCACAAAAACTGTCCTGACTTTACTGGACCAGGTACTGTCTTTTTTTGCCAAAAAAGAAAGAATATAATGAAAATATTGGCACTGCATATACCCAATCAAAGATCCTTACTTTCTCCAGGCTAGCAGGTGAATAGAATCCAGAAATACACTAATGCAAATAATAAAGCTAATCCACATGAGTAGTCCCCACTGAAATGGATGTAGCTAACCCTTGTGAATAAAGTAAAATACTGACTCTGAACTAGTAGCCTAATAACTAATAGCCTAAATATGATGTTATTTCTGTGGTCAAAATATGATATTTCCTGAAAGTTTAAAAAACAATTCAATACCCATGAATTTCCCTCAAGAATGCAAAATTTCCTGACTCTCACAACATTACATTTGCAACCTGGACATTTAACCATATCTACATAGTTTCTCTCCACTATTTTATTTCTAAATCCATACATTTTTGTAAGCCAGCAATTTCCTAACACAACATGGTAACAGAGGTATCTCAGTTTAACATCTGAGCTTGCTGCCACAGAAGAATCACTACCTGTCAATCTTGCTGCTTCCTCATCTACCCATGGTTCATCTCACCACATACAGAGCAGCCTAATGTGCATTTAAACTTTTGTGAGCAAAGCCAAAGCATTTTTCCCTTCATAGTAACAACTAATAAAAATAGGCTTAGTATAGCAGCTGAAATGTGCCATTATTACAGTAGATGCCGAAGACCTTAGAGCATACTTGTGACTGCTACCATTTCTCTAAGGAGGTCTGATTATCTGAGGCCACTGTTTCTCTCTGAGCACATATCTGGCAGGAACCACCTTGGACTGTACAATATTTACATGACCTGCTAATGCTAACCTGTTTGCAACTACTGAATTACCTCCTCGACACAGGAGTACTATGGGCAAACAATCACCACAAGAGTGGCTGCCAAGGTTTTAAGAGCAGCATTCAGACCTGAATAAAAGTTACCAAATGCAGAAATAATGCATTGAAATATCAAGCAAAAATTAAAGATTCTAAGAATATGAGAGGCCGCAAACCCACAGTGCCCAGCCTGCAATGAAGGACATAATCATTATCAATCCTATTCTGCATCATTAAAGATTTTAAGAGAGTCACAGTATCACAAAAAAATTAAAACCTAGCTCCTTTTTTTTTTTCCCTGGGTAACTACATGAAAATTCTACACAGAGTTCTATTTCACTACTGTCTGTCATTTCTAACTTTAAATATTATTTGAAAGAGATCTTACTTTGGCTCCTAGCCCTTGCAGAAAGTAGGATTTTTCAGCAAACAGGGGCCTGGAGGTTTTACTGTACTAATATTCCTATCTCAATAAAGCCATAAACCTGACATGTTTTCATTCCAGACCTTACTTTACATGCTTCATACCAACGCCAGTAAAATAATTCCTCAGTCTTTATGCGTAATTTCTAACTGAATATACATGTTGCTCCTGAATAGCTTTGCTAGCTCACATAACTCTAAAAAGACGCACACTGTTTTGAACACCAAGTCTATCACACATTTTAAATCACGGACATATTTGAAAAGTGATACGCAACAAAGCAGAGTTAAGAGAAATGTAGACATGTTTCACTTACCAACAGCTCACAGTCAACAGAAAAACAGAGTTAAAATAAATAGAGCAGTGTAACACACCACAGCATATGCCAAATAGACCACATACATACATACCATACCGCATGCCAGAACAACCATAACATTGTCTTATTCTTTAAGTCATGCACAGAAGGGTAGTAAGTTTATCAATAAGCAAGGATGCATTTCACTTTATTTCCCACTGTAATTTTATGGAGGTATTTGGAGCTCAAAACAGGTACTGACTGCAGGACATCAGAGGACAGTGTCTGGCTTTCTGAAATGCCCCCAAGGCAATAGTAAGCTCACCTGTCTGCCTTATTAAGCCTGAACTTCAAGGGACAGATTAGAATATGGATTAGCCATTGGCAGACATGCTGAACTACATGAAAAAGAATCCATCCCACTCTCTGAGGGTACTAAACCTCTACCTCCTTGACTTCATGAAGGTGAAGGATAGTATGCCAACTCTGAACACCCAGACCTAGGCAGAGCATGATGCCAATGTTGGGAAGGGTTTAGCATACCCTGCTTTTCTGTCTGAAATTAAAGCACATTAATTGAAAGGATACACCCCACTTCAATTCACTGAACAGGGCTGTATCTGAAAAAATGAGATATATAGCTGTTCCTGTATAGCAAAAGCATTATCATATTTTCCCTTCCATTACTCTCTAAGTAACACTGCAACTTTTCACTTTTTTTTTCTTTATATGACTATATATATGGGACATACCCTTTATGGATCTATCTGTAAAATCTAGTTCTTTTCCTGAAATGCTTAGAAACGCACCAACACATACAAAAAGTTCAAACTATTTTTTCCAACATACAGAATTACCTCTATTACACTGCCTGGTCGCCTTTCATTAGGCTCCCTGGTTAAAACTAATGAAGTGTAGAAGGAATGACTCTTTGAGAAATTCTGTAGACACTCATTAACCAGGCTGTCCAGCTGGTTACAGCACAAACAATGGCGTGAATCCACAGGCACCTTCGGGAATTATTCTGGGTTTTCTAGATACCTTTTCTGAAAAGAACATATTATGGACTTTCCAAGTAGTATCCCGTCACTGTCTAGACTAATACTCAGCCTGATTTACTAATGAACACAGTCCAAGAGTGACAGGCATCCTTTCCACCCATACAGACGTGGACCACACTGGCCCTCCCACTGAAAACCCATCTGTTTGATGATCAAGGATGTCAATGTTAAAATACACCAGAGCCCAGACCAGCAAAATCTGCTTCTATTCTGTGTGGACTCCGGTAGTTTACCCTCTCAGTAACAGTTCTCACAGAACTAGAAAACCTTGAATCTGCTTATTTGCTTTAGTACAGAATTAAAGAAATCCTTATGTCCTGCAGGTCAACTGCAGATGGATGATGGACAGCAGTGCAAGTGGATTTGTGTCATCCTATGAAAAACACAAGAGAACACCTCTTATGTGATTGGTAATGGGCCAAGAGGCCACAAGACAACAAAGACAGAAAAGCATGTCAACAAATAAGAAAGATTGGTTTTAAGCATCTATCCAGATTCTTCACACATCAGTTATCTGCAAGTTGCTATGTAGCACACACCTCTGTAGTGCCAGCATTTGCAAAATTCCAGGTAACGTTGTAGTTGCTCCTCTCAATTCTTTTGTCTTTGAAGAAAAAGTAAAAGTGCCAGTAAAAGTGTTTGTGCCACTACATGACACATATTTGAATGAGTAGAAAATCTCAAAGCAAAATCTATGTTAATTAGCTGGCTATACTAAGGGTAGTTAGTGAGTCTTAAGGGTACAGACATTAATTAAAATAGAAGATTCAGCCTCTTCTGAAGTCAGTAAAAATTAATTCACACCAAGGCTGACGAGTGTGAATATTTTCAGGTTTAAAGACAAATTTGTAAGTTCTAAGCCAGAATGAGAATGCCACCCCAACCACAATATCACCAGTGCCATGCAGTAAAGCAGAGCCATTCCCATTCAATATCTAAGTTTTACAGCCTTTGCATGCCCTAAGGGACCAGTCATTAAAAGGTCAGTTCAGAAATAAATTACTTTCTCCCTTGTGGCAAGTTTCTATGAAGTAAAAACCTAATGTCGTCAACTCCCCACAGCAGGGTATTTATTGGGTGTTTCAGAGAGGGCAAGCAGGGCTACAGATCTGACAGCAGCAACAGAGGCACACAACAACAAAACGGAAAAATGAGAGAATTGAACAGACATGGCTGGAAAGATTTCCTCTTTACCATGCACACTACCTCTAGCCACAGGCACAAATAAAGGCACCAAACAAGCCTTCTCTTCCCATCCCTTTCCTTCCCTACTCACCTCCCTATAAAAAGACAGTTCTGAAAACCAAAGTCTGCTAGAAGAATGATTAAAATCCTAGCCACCAAGAGCAAATGATGCTTGGAACAGATGAGAAGGCACAGTAGACAAATACTTTCAGGCAGGCATAGTAAACAAATATTTTCAGGAAAGTAAACTCCCATAAAAACCAATCTTTCTTCTTGGGAAAGCGTGTTACTTTGGATAGATTCTCCTCATCAGAGTGAGGATTCTAGGAACTCCTCCTCTTCCACAAAACTGGCATCAATCACAGAACTGCCCATTTAGCAGAAAAAATAACAAACAACACAATGATTTACTGCAACCCTTTCCTGAATTTACTGAATTCCCTAACACCTGAATACAAAGACTTAGACTGTGAAATACAAGCATTTAAATCGATTTCCTTTTCTGTCACAAGAAACATGAAATTCAAAAGAACAAGATCAAAAGAGCAATATTATTTATAGCCACCTCCCATGTGCTCATTCATCATAACGCTGACAGATTTATAAATTGAGTAGACTTGAATAGGCAATACAGCTCAACTAGAACACGTGTAAATTTGAACAGCCTGCAGTCACATCTTCCAGTTTGAACAATCTGCCAGGAGACAGGAGAAAGGAAGAGGAAAATACAAATATGGTGCACAATTCCACAGAATCTGAATATTGAACACATATGAAACAAAACCAAACACCACTTACTTCGGATTTGGAGGACATGTTTTCATCCATGTCAGAATCATTGGGATCTACAATATCATCAAACGGTGGCAGAGTAGGCGTCTTCCTTTCCAGTGCATCATTTTCAATTTTGAGTCTCCCCACCTTGAGTTGAGATCTATCCTTTGTCTGTTTTTTGTCAGCTGAACAAGTCAGAATCAGTGGTGGGGCACTAGAGAAACTTTTAAATAACGAATCTGAGCCACTTTTTTTTCTTTTTTTTGCAGAAGGTTCATCAGAGTGCAGAACATAGGGCCTTTTTGTAGGCATCTTCTTTTCTTGTTGCTGCCCACCTGTAATGGTGGGAGTGTTTTCAGATTTTGGCTCCTTGGATATGGGTTTGGGTTCCTTGAAGGCCATCTTAGGAACTATTTTTTCATCTTTTAGTGCTTTGTTTTCTTTGGGCTTCTTATAGGATTCTTTGGAAGATTTGTTGTGTTCCCTGGAAGGTTCTTTGAAGGCACTTTTATGTTCTTTTAAGTCTTTAGAAGTTTTTTCCTTGTGCTCCTTTGTTATCTTGTGGGTCTTTGAAAAATTGTTACTACTGCTGCTGCTGCTGCTACTTGTGTTCAGAATCCTGGCTGGGTCCTGCAAAGAGAAGATGCAAAATTTTACTTACCAAAAAAAAAAAAAAAAAGTCAAAAGACAGACACAATATGGACACAGGATTCATATTATAAACTTGAAACTGCAGATTGAAAACCAGAAACTGCAAACACCTATAAAAGAACAGATACAAACCCCATCATTTTGGTCAACTTATCAGCTACAAAGTGGTGGAACATGAGCAGTTACCACTGCTTGTCAGTATCTGCAATACAAGTTAGTTTTTACCTTAAGAATTAGATATGTTTTAAAATAAACATCATAACATGAATATAACGACACGTTAACAATAATCATGAGCTGTCTGTAAAAAAAACCAAAGCATAAGGAAAGATCAGGATGTGACCCATAAACTGTTAACAGAATTACTTTAGAATTAGAGCAAAACATGTGCTCCTGATGACGTTGCAGGCAAAGCTTATAAACACCAAACACCTGTAGCACTTTCTCCAGAAACAAGCTTCATTTTTATACTACTTCAAATCTGCAGAGTGACATTTCAATTTACAGGATGCCCACCAAAGCCCACTCTATCACTCC